TTATAACTCACGTTCAAGCTCTGAAGTCGCAATGCAGTCAATCCCAGTGAGCGGATACACATTTCGCACATACAGTAGCAGGAGGTGAGAAGGTAAGGATTCTTGAGGTCTTTCTTGATTTGAAGAAGGACTTTCTTGTCTCGCGGATGACATAGTGCTCGATCGGAGCGAGCAGGAGCATAGAATAACAGAGCCATGCATGCTTGGCAAGGTCATTGGTGTTTAACTGTTTATACAGTGAAGCAAAGAGGACGCTTAGAGAATCTGTGAGAACTAATGATAATTCCGAGCGGCTCCGGAATTTTAAATTTGAAATTGGAAAACACCAGCAGAGCATGGTTTCCAGTTTGGGACACAAAATCTGAAAACATTTGTGGGGCAACAGAAAGCTTTGCGGATATGGTCGAAAATGTAGGGGAAGCAAGAGATTATTGCATGTTTCTGTCTGGCATTTGGCAGCAAACTGGTCGTGATTTTGTTTTGAGTGCATGAACTTTTCTAATACTCCATATATAATGCTTTTCGGACTCTCGAAATAAAATAAAATAAAGTAAAATCATGTAAATCACGTGATATTATTTGACGTGTCATAATATTTTGTATTCTTTAGAGAAACTTGGAAAAAAAAAAAGACTTAATCAAAAGACATTTAAGAAAGTGGCTAGAGTTGCAAAATAAATTAATCAAAGGCCATTTAGAATGACTTATAACTAGTTTTTTAATCGTAATTTATAAAATACGAGATAAGTGTGTGAGAGAAGTTTTCTCTCGACTTATATAAAACATATTTATAAGTGATTTCAAACGCTAATCCAAATAGAGCCATAGTCTCATATAGTCTTTGATAGTTGTCTCTCCTTATTCCTTTTTATTCAAAAAAAAAAAACTGGTAATATAGATCATTAAATCATCCCTAATTTCCTATATATTTTGCTTAATTTATGGTTGTACTTACAGAAACTAACACAACATACTTTTGCACATTCGAGTTGCAGGCTGCCTGACAGTCGTCCAAGTCAAAGTCAAAGTCAAAGAAAGACGTATCCTCTTCAAAAAAGGAAGAAACTAGAGGGCAAATTGGTTGGTTTCTATGACAGCGCCGCTTTCTTGTTGGAATTATACCTTTTGTTCTTTTTTTTTTTTGGCCAAAATTATTATACCTTTTATTCGAAGTGCATTTCTTTAGGCCCAAAAATCCCATCTTCCACCAAGGAATCCAAAGGTGGCTTCTGTTAAAAATTAGCACAAACCTCAAAGCACGTGACATGCAGAGTTCGAGTCCTCTCCATTTACCCTCTTACTTGTTTTATTTGTTTTTTTTTTTTTTTTCTGGTTTACCAAGTCAAAAGACGTGAGACTTGTTCACGTTGGTTTGCGATTATCTAGGATTAGTTGTTGCTAAATAGGGGGAGCACTATTAGGATATCTAAGTAGTTAGAGAAAAATATGGGAATCTAGTTCGTGGCTCAGTGCTATATATGGACCATGCTGTAATCGATTGAGATATACAGAAATTCATAAAATATTCCCATAAGATATCATCAGTCCTCATTGTTCGTTATTCTCCGTCTTATTTGTTTTAGCTTCATTTAATGAATGTAGGTATCAATTTTATTGTGATTTGCTGGGTAGAGCAAATTAACATTCAACGCAGCTCGCTGCTTGTGGCGAAAGATAGTAATTAAAACATCGTCTAATGAAACACACACACACACACACAGAGGAACATATAATCGCCGTGTTCGCGGCTCAGCTGTTTATTTTATGCGCCGCGGAATACGTAGCCGTTTAGTGGCACGGGAAGAGCAATTATTTGCATGCCGGTAACGGCGAGCCGCAAAGGCAGCTGTTATGGAAATAGGAATACACGTCGAAGCTCTGCAACTTTCCTCCCACCGGAATCTGACCGCACAGCCTGTTATAGCTCACATTCAAGTACTGAAAATTCAGTTCCGTCAACCCCCCAGGAAGACTCCCGTACACCTTATTGTGATTCAGATCCAGCGACGTCAGGCTGCTCGGGAACACCACCTTGCTCACATTAAACGCCAACAGATTCCTCGAGAGGTCAACTATCTGCACCGTTTTATTGGACCCGAACAGCATGGACGCGTCTCCCTCCAGCTTGTTCCGCGACAAATCTATGGTAGTCAAGTTCAAGTTGATGAAAGAGTTGGGGATCTGACCGGAGAGATTGTTGTGAGAGAGATAAAGATCAGGGCTGCTCTTGAAGTAACCGAAGGACTCAGGGATCGAACCCGTGAGGTGATTGCGGTCCAAGTGAAGGGCGGCGAGGCCAGACAATTGGGAGAGAGAAGGCGGGATTGTGCCAGAAAGATTATTGAACGAGAGGTCCAGGAAAGTGAGGCTATTGAGCTGGGCCAGGAAGCTCGGAACGGGACCGGAAAGGTTGGTCCAGCTGATGCGGAGGAAGGTGAGACGAGTGAGGCGGGCGATGGCAGGCTGGAGCGGGCCGGTGAGATTGGGGAGCTTGTGGAATTCCAGAGAGCGGAGGAAAGGGAGATTGGCGATGGAAGGCGGGATTTGAGCGGAGAAATTAGAGCGGGCGGTGGAATCAAGAATGGTTAGGGAGACGATGCGGTGGGTTTTGGGATCGCAAGTGACGGTGTACCAGTCGCAGCAATCGGTGGCGGGGTTCCATGAGGCTAGGAGGTAGGGATTGTTGAGATCTTTCTTGAGCTGCAGCAGAGCTTTCTTGTCGGCGGGGTTGCATAGCTCCGACGACAGAGCATGAGAGATGAGTACAAGAAGCAAACACAGACGAAACATATTGGGATGCGATGGGAGGATCGACCGTAGGGGGATGATGCGTTTATATATTAGTATATTATGTGCGTATGAGCGGGAAGCGTCAACTTCAATTTACGAATGAGGGCCGGTCTTCATTTTCTTTACGAGTTCTTTTTGTTGGGAACATTTTGTCAAAGTTCTTGATGATCGTTTACATCATTAATGATAAGTAGGAAGATCTGGAATGATTCTGAACCGCAGCTAGCAGCTGAGAATATGACATGCCGTTACGTGCACGAGTTAGACACGCCTCCCCCCTTCATTATTATCATCTGTCAATTGTCAAATGTGTGCTTATTTGCCTAAATAACTGTCAAATGACTCACAGTAACACGAAGATCATGGATTTGGTTAAGATTACGCTATTTTCATCCGCCATATGGCTGCTGACTTAACAGTTGATAATTCTGCTCTAACCCTCTTTGTGGCAAAGTAGTGTTATTTATTGTGTGTTGTATAGCCATGCTCCATGTCAAATTATTCGACTGCCGCATCCACCCCGGGAGGTATCGTGATAAGGCATATTAAGAGTGGGTGATTAGAAGGCATGTCTAGCTGAGGGAGGCGACTTGAAAGCCGAGGATCCAATCCAAGACCCACCCTCAAAAACCATGTCTTGTGAAACAGAGTCCGCCGAGCCCCGGGCAAAAGGATAAACTGTTGAAACTTGTGCCCGAAAGAAAAAAACAAGGGACAAAAATATAAGTGTGAAATCAGGGGGTGTGAAATCAGTGTGTGGGAGGTGGGTGAGACATCCATTGATTCACCAATCTAGTTTACTTGATACTTTGCGTTTGAAAAGACCGGTTAATTAAAAAGAAAAAGAATCAAACTTTTATTCAACTTCATAACTTAATTTATAGGCGGTCCTATTTTGATGATTTTAATTCAAGATGCGAAGCTTGGGTTTTGGAAAGTGCGTGGAAGTAGTGCTACATTTTAATTAACATCATTTTATGCATTGTATTGCCTAAAACAAATGTTGTTGTTTGGACTTTTATTCCGTTGGCTCACTACATGTATGATATTTTGGAACCAAAAAAAGCCCAAAAAGAGGCCCAATAACTGAACAAGCCCACTAACCGAACTGAATGGTTAATTCGGTTTGGTTAGTTAATCATGTTCGGTTTCAGCTCGGTGTTGGCATTATGATCTATTCGGTTATTCGGTTATTTAGTATCACTAACCGAACCGAATAGGATGTGATGTGGCGCTCGGTATGAAGGTCATAAAAACGATTGATATAGTGTTGGGCAAAATATGTTACAAAACCCTTTATCTTAGGGCTTTTTGACCTGCTATTTACCCTCGGCCTTTGGTATAACGAGACATATTCTCTCCCCGGGGTCTCTTTGACCTACGTGATTGGCCCAAAGCAAGAGAGAGCTTTTACGCTCTATTTTGTTTTTTGGGCTCTCTTTTGAGCCCAAGCATTTAACTCTCACACTTGTAAAGTTAACCTAACTTTATTGATAAATCAGTTATTGTCTTCTTTATGGAAAAATATAAATTTTCACTTTTTAAGTTTTAATATATTACAAGGACTAAAATTTCAAGCCGTGATGTTAAAATAAAAGCACTCCGTTTGCATCTTCATATACACAAGACCTTTTTTTATTATACGAAATTTGAAAAATAATTTATATTATACATACTTATAACTGATTCATTTTGTCATGAAATTCACTATATATATTGATGAGTTGTATTTTTGTGACATAGATATATGTTATGGGAACAATAATTTTTTAAAATTTAATTTGTCCTTTCTTTACAATTCGTGCCTTTGCAGCTAGCTAACCTTATAAGAACGCCGAGCACAAAATCCACTGATTCATGAGCCAAGGAAAGAATTGGGAACACCCGGGGAGGACCCCCTTCCCCGAGTTAAAGTGAGGTCTAACAATATGATAATTTTCAATAGTAAACAAAGTTTGCCAGGTTGAAATCAAATATTTTCGAACCAGATCTGTTCAGGCTTAGAATTGGAAACCAGTCACTTAGGGAATAAGAATTACCATCATTCACCCGCAGAGCTAAGGCATTGAGTTTTCAGTGGGAAGCAAATTGATTCATTTCAATTTGATAGCGCTGGTGTATTCCTCCTGTACTTCCACAGTCAGAGACATACAAGTAAAATTCAATTCTATAACGTGCCGTGTCTATTTAGATTAAATTATATGCAGCGTAGCGTGGGGAGAAGGCAGGGTGGAAGCTGAAGCAGACACATGGATTCAATTCAATTCAATTTATAATAGTAATAATAGAAGAAAGAAAGTTAATTAACAAGGAGATTAATTAATTAATTAATTAAAGGCTAATTCAGGATGTAGGTAGGTAGGTAGGTTGGCTGGCTACTTCGGAGGAAGCTCCAATCCAAGATTACGTTACGGTCATTCTTGACGAGGTCGTCCCATCCACAGAGAACTGAGAGCTCTGAGACGATGGAAGTACTCGGCGATGGCCAGCATACACCTCGCCGCCTGCCGCGTCGTCAGTATCTCATGCAGACGGTGAATGGTCTGTTGCCTCAGATTATCTGCCTGTTGAAGTTTTCATTAAAAACAAAAGGAATTAATAATTATTGTCATAAAACTCAACAATGTCAACTCCATATTTTTATGCAGGCTTCAGTTAGAACTTGAATTTTATAATCACACACGGCACCTTTATGCCCTACTTTAGAAGCAAATGCACCTAGACACATTTCATTGAAAGGGGCAGGAGGGCCAATCAGAGTCTTCCCACGAGTCCAATATCTTGAAACATGAACAGGACTCGCAACCTCTCTATCTACTTATGACTTGTAGATTATGATGTCTCCATAGTCAATGCTCGGATTATTTAATGATGGACTTAATTTCCTTGGAAACTTACGTGGAAGCACACCCCGCACAAAAACTAACTAGGTGGTCAAAAAGATGTACGTGCGCGCCTCTGTGTGTGTGTGTGTGTGTGTTAAAACCAATATATTCAAAGGTGTAAACTTTTTCAAAGAGAAGCAGGGGTTTCATTCAAAATTAATGAAGACACTGCTGTTTTCAACTATTCTGAATCCAAAGGGCACAGACATTTATATCAAAATACATACAAAGCCACGCACGCACGCCACCACGAATTTCATAGTCTACATTTACGATAGAAGCATGAATACTTCAAAATAAAATGGTCAAATTATGACTGTACTGATTGCTTGCTAGTGTGTTAAAACTAGTAATCATTGTGATTAATGTACTCTACCTGATAATTCCTCGATTTGACGGTTACTTGGAACATATATAAGCTTTTATTCTTTAGTGGCTTGTGAAATCAGCGACTGACCCATTGAAATATAAACCAATGTTGGTGAACCAACTCAATTATAATAAGCTTCATCACAAAGAATTTTAAGGACATTTTATTCCTGTACTCAATCCAAGTTTAATTTCGTTTCTGCTTTTCTTCTCCTTTAATATGTAATTTGTCTTGTTTGATGTGTTTCACATATGGGATATATACACACGCACCTGATGCATGGGACCTATTCAGGACATCTTCATTAGAATTTAATGGGTTCACGTAATTATTGATTAGAATATAATGATCATTAATGACCATTCATTGGAAGAAGTAGGTGATCGGGTGGATATTTAGAGGAATAATGTTTTGTTTTTTGTGTTTTGAAGTTCCGTTGGATCAGCATGTGAGTTTGTTTGGTTCTTTTTGTCTGTTTGGCCCTCTTGCTTTTGGCCTGAAGTGTTTGTGTGGTTCAAGACAAGGTCAAAAGAGGAGTTATACATAGAGAAGCAACAATATGTATGTGGTGTCCTCAACCTGATCAAGGGTTGGTTACGATCGTGACATCATCACATATGGGGCTCAATGGACCTCTCTGGATGAAAATTATACTAGTGCGGGACCACTAGCTACCCCTACTGTCACTAGTACATGATTCCTCACACCTTTCCTCCGTATTGTAATCTCTCTGTAATCTGCATGCTTCTAAGGTTCAAACTAACTACAATCAATCCTGTTTTCAAAAATTTTTCAATAATATAGTCACTACAAATAATATACATCCCTTAGAGTTCTTCCCAAACAGAAACTATAAAAATGAAATTTAAGTTTCCTAATATCTCTATGATTCACGCAAGTTATATATACATTCACCATCAATTTATTTATGGAAACTCATGGGGCGGCTTTAATTTGATTTATCATTGTCAAGTAGGTGCATCTATGGTGTATGCCCCTGAAAAACTGACTAGTAACGAACGATATTTCCGTTTCCAGAAAAAAATTATGTCCCCTTGTTAACATTTTGTAGATTCCATGAGGACTGAGACATGCATGGAAGGAGTTGTTCATAGGGTTGGGGCAGGTCACTCCCCTCCCCAGCTACCCAAAGAGGAACAGAGATTCTTTGGTCCTAGCTGCCTAATTAGCCCCACGGGATCAGATATAGAAGCAGTCTTGAGGGACCACAAACTAATTAAACCAGAACACGAGGCCACAAATAAAACCACTACCACAAACAGATTCAAAATGCTTGCCTTCATGATCTTTATGTAGTATACATATACGTACGTAACATAAACAGAGTGAAAATGAATCGTCTAACGTACCTGTCTCACGAAACCTTCTAGAGTAGAGAGCTTATTTATGGCCATGGCCATCTGTCCCATGAAGTTGGCCATATTGGGCGGACAGCTCAGTGAGTCAGATGTTATAGTGTCCGAGAGAGATTGATTGAGAGCCTCAAGCCCTTGGGAGAGAGCATCTTCTGCCTCTTGCGTAGACTGTTGCAACCCATATATTCCCAGTATTTGTTGCTCCGTCAGGGGTTCAATTTGACTCACAATTATCTGAAACGCACGTAAAATAAACATATATATGCTCATCAAAAACAATTTACGTGTGTGTGTGTAGGCTCTTGTTTTTATGTATATATGTACATGGTTTGATCAAGGGACATCATTTATTGATTAACTAGAGTACAAAGCAAGAGAAGGGTGTGGGGACTTGAACTTTATTATGGATAGAGACCCGTGCCAGTCTCTTTCGCTCTTAATTTACTTTCTCAACCCCATGCTCCAGCCAGATTATTTGGAGTAAAAGGTATGGCTTTATGGGAATGAAACCTAACTATACCCTTTAGTGGAAACCCTTCATAATGCCTTTCGTCATTCATTAATTGATGACATTCATTTCATTACCCTCCGACTTCCTCAGTTGTCCATATACGTATATGCCCCCCGACAAAACTCGACCCTCACAAATTTATATCTACATGACGTTATATATATATATATATATATATATTATACGTACACCTAAATTATATTCCTCCCCCGTTACGCATGTAAGTAGTCTAAGGTAACCCAGAACCCATCCTAGACATTTAAAAACATAGGATGAAACAAAGTTCTCGACATATGACTCTTTATGTTATTGTAGGTTGTCTTTGTCATGTGTGGTTGCCACACAATATTATTGCTGACGGTTTTTTTTTTTTGGGGGGGGGGGGGGAGATAAAGATGGTTAGCCGGATTGATCGGAGTTGTACCTTAATGAGTTCTGATGGCCTGAACCCACCGATCCACATGAAGCATCGTTCGGCTGGGGTGATCCACATGCCAGACACGATGTGGAATACGTCTGTTTTGGCCAGTAAGCTCTTGAGATTCGTTAATTGGTCATATTGTGCCAAGCAATTATCTACAAACAGCCGCAGCTCGTTCTCTGGAAGGTGCTCTTGAACTGCAGCTCTTAGCTCGCACACTATTCGATGGTGTTCTTCTAGCCATCTCGCATATTCTACGTCGAACATTGCAGCCTCTGAAAATTGATGATGTGCACACATATGAAAATCTTGCTGGTTAAAAGTACGCTGTGAATACTTGAATTAATATATGTTGTTTTACTCTCATCAAGACCTGAGCTAATGCTGCTCATAGCCATAGGAAGGCCTTGTTCTCCTCCCAAAGCTGCACCTCCCGCCAAAAATACTCCCTGAAATAGAACACGAATTGAGCGCTTGTAAGTCTTGTGCGATGATTTTAATTAGTTGCAGCTTTGTCGATGTGATGTCCATTCAGAGCATCGACTGGAATGCCCAAATTGAGATATATATATATATATATATATGCACTGTTTGTTTTTTCTTACTTGAGCTCTAGCACGATGTAGCTCTTGCTCCAGCTGATTAAGCCTAATTCTACTTGACTCTAGCTGCTGAACATATGCCTGAGACAACAAATAAACGGATGAGTAGGAGAGCTTTGAAAAGTGGAAATGCGTGAACCCACACAATTGAGATGAAAGTATCCACCTTTTTCCTGAGCCTGCTTTTCCTGGCCGCCTCTCTATTCTGAGCAAGTCTTCTGAGAGTCTGCGCGGTCGTACGCATGGAATTTTACTTTAACATCAAATAAATAAAAGAGAGGAGAAAAAGAAGATGGGAGTTGAAAAAGAAGCAGAGCGGTGAGAGAGACATGGAAGGTGAGAAAAAAGCGAAGAGTGATAGTGACCTTAGGATCGGGGGTTTTGGGGCCTTCCTGTTCAGAACTCGGCGTTGGACCCTTACGATTGTTCTCTCGCTGTTATGCAGTGGGCACACATTCACAGATCAGTAGGTGATTTTCATTTAAGCTCAGAAACTCAGGTTTCAAATAAGCATTCGCCTTCAACCATGTCATCAGAGGTAGGTATATACATCGTTGTGTTTAGCATAGAAGTCGAACATATGCGTATGGAGTCTATACCTTGACCGTTTTGGAATTGGTTGGTTCAGAGGCCGAGGCGGCTTCGTTCCGCGGGTTGGCCAAATCCACTGACGGCTCAGACGGGGCTTTGGGACCACTGCTGCCTTGCGGAGGAGCTACTTCCATGCTAGCCTAATATGCAAACAAACCCATCAAGTATCAATTAATAATAAAACTGATGAAGGATATCAGGTAAAATAAAATGAGAGCGGTATGACCATACCTTGGATGAGGGCAGGTGGATATGCATAGGTTGGGATGGGAATATGTTGAGAGTGGGAGGCTTTATTTGTGACGATGACGAGTTCTCTGCTGAGAAACATGCACAAAATTCACCATCAATTAGATATGTCTGAACCCATCGAGAGAAGAAAGTGAGAATCGAAAGAAAGGTCTATTTTTCGAGGGACACAAATGATTGCGGGGCTCGGCCCAAAAGTGAAAGAGGAGGGCTACAGAATCTTCATGTATGCATTATGATTTGTAGCTCTGCGCGTCTGCCATCCAAAGGGAAAGTAAACGCACAAAGGCACCCATATTCTCAGTACATGTGGAGTTTTGCAAGGAAACCATGACACCCGGTTTGTTACATGTCATGGTCTCATTCCTCTAAGCAACAATATACAATAAAATAACAATTACCCTATCTCTCTCTTTCTCTCTCCCCGTTTTTTTTGTTGGGAACTGAAAATGTGCACTCCATTTTTTTTATTTTTATGCTTCCTGGGATCGGGTTAAAGAAAGTACTAATTAAGGTACTGACGATAAGAGAATCTGCAGAACCCGCTTTTGCTGTGACCCTAATAACCCATCCCTCGGAGAACCAATCACCGAAACGATTGAAAAGCAAGCGAGAAAATTCTCCTTGTTTTTGAAACTGATGGGGGGAGTTGGGACGAGGTAATTATAAATTTTTGATGCGAGTATGCATGAGAGAAGGAGAAAGCTCACGTCTTTGGTGTTGAACACTGGATGGGTCTTGTTGTCCATCAAGATAGAGAAAAAGGGCCTGATCCAAATCTCCCAGATCATAAGCTCCGGAATCCTTGCTTCTGCGGAGGCGCGCACACGTTAAATAAATAGTAACAAGAATAAATTAAACCGGTTCAACATAAACTGGGTCAGTTCTTAACAGTTGTACTGCAGAAAGTATATGCTGAATAGCTAGTCGTATAACTCACAGGTAGTTTCCGGGGACGGAAAACGTCGACGGAGGAGAAGATTGCATTATTCCGAAAGAAACATGTTGATCTTGGGTATGATGATGCTGTTGTGGTTGCTGATGACGACGACGGTGTGGAGGAGATAGAAGTGGTTCGTGGTGAGTTGTTGTTTGGTTGATACTGGAAGACATGAGAGCCGAGAAAGCGACCTGTATCCTGTGTTCTCTGGCTGATTGATCTTCTCTTCTTGTCGTCCTCCTGTATAAGCTCTCCGGAAACCCCACTAACGCCGAAACCGCCTTCTCGTTTCCATTAAAAACCAACTATTCTTTTATGAAGATTTGTCCACTTACGGAGAGAGAGTCGGTTATGTGCAATCCAATAGCTGGAGCCGGAGGATGATGATAAGAGGGAAATAAGGAGGAAGACGGAATTCAAAGCGAGGAAACAGACGAAATTAAAAACCGTGTTTGTCTTTTACAGCGCTCTCCCGCTTTCTCACTCATGTATATGAGAAGAAACAGATGACTTTAATTTCTGCCAATATATATATACACGCACACATATATCAGATAAAGCGGTTCTGAGGGTTTGCGGTTCAACTCTCAGTTTGTCTCTCTCTCCGGAAAATAACAAAGAAGGGAAGAGCAGACAGGAGAAACTGTCTTTTGTTTATTTAGGGGGAAAAAAACAAGAAGAAAAGAAAAACAATTTGTAGAGTTGAAAACCACATCTTTCTTCCTTCCTCGTTTAAACATTAAGCCTTTCAAAGACCATCGGGTGAAATGACCAAAAAGTCATCCTCTTTCTTCAACCTTTACTGTTCACATTTTCATGCAAACTTACACGTAGATTCCTCACAGGCGGCCTTCAGTATCTATTGGATCATCCCTAACCAAGTTCACCTTCCGCCGAACAAGTTTTAGTTCTCGTTGTCTTGATGAACACTTTAAGTTTATCAGATTTAGACTGTTTATAATTGATTTGAACTGTCTAGATTTAAAATTTTTAATTAATTATTTTTAAATAGAAAAAAATATTTTTTGAAAAAATAATAGTTAAAAGATTATTTCTATTTTAGGTTCTATACATGTTAAAATAATTATTTTGAGCAAATAAAAATAAAAAACAAAATCTGAATCATGTAAATGAGATATAGACAATCTAAATCTGATGAATTTAGAGTACTCATTAAAGTAATGAGCACCAAAACTGACTCCCCTTTCGTTTCCCAGCTCTTTTATTTCTTTTCCTCCTTGCAAAATCATATATATATATTTTCCCTTAAAAAAAGAGAGTAATTATGAATATTTAAGAATACCTGTCCTCTCTCTTCCAAATAAATCAATTTATTTTATAAATCATGTGTTCAAATAATAAGTTTTGATGAAATTGTCGAGTAATTGATTAATTAGTAATCACTTCCGTGGAAATTAAACAATTATGACCTTCAAATTAAAATCCCAATTCCCACTTGGAGATCTAACACTCACCCTAATTAAAAGTTTCGAGGGAGATATTGAGACTTTATTCACATGCGTTCCTCGAGTTAATCAAGTCGTTGTAACGCTACAGTATATAATGATATTCCTCAATTTTGAAAATGTTTACTCCAAGTTGAATAATCAAATAAATCATTTTCGTCAGCATGGACTCTATGACTATCGCAGATGAATACAATAATTAAGAGTCATAGGATAAATTAGCTTGCAGAAGTTATCCTCTTTTTTTTTTTTTTTTAAGTGGATGATTGAAAATGATATTATTTATTTATAATTTTCCCCGCTTAGTTATCACATTGACCTCGAAGGTGTTTCAAGCAACAAAATAGAATAATGGAGAATATTTGTGTAATGGCATTGATAAAATATTTAGACCATATAAATTATAGGCGAATGGTGGGTGTGTGTATGTGGTTTACATAATAAAGAAATCAATATCATTGACTCCCGCTATTATCAGGCACGCGAAAGCCTTCTAGGAAAATTATATTCGCTTAGACAATAAACTCCTAATTGGTGATTTATATATATTTATATATATATGAACAATAATATTCATGGCCCACATAAAAAGTCAATATATATGTGATGTTCTATCTGGATCAATATGTCACTTGGATCTCTAGCGCTGTGAATTATTACCTCATATCCTAATTATAAGATAATATTCGTAGTCTACGAGGCTTTATAATTAGGACCGGAAGTGATAATTTTTATTTGTCCAGCAAGGTACCAATAAACAAACCATGTTTGGATGTATGACTTTGATCTAAAGCTCGCCAATGAAATAAACCGATGAAGGGCAATGCATTCGCCTGAGCACGTACGCGTGGATATTGACCCGCCACACTCATATGAAGGCCTCCATCAAACTTCTGTGGGATTACTTACTAACCCCACTCATCAACGTATTACTGTATCGTCGTTGATTTACAAATTGACGATGTTTGTACTCTATAATTGTGCAACGGTTTCATCAGCAAATTAAAACTGAAACATATATTGAATCAAATACTACGCAACTAGCAAGACATTTTTCAGAGCGCGCACACACACGCAGCCTTTCATTAACCTGTTCCCAAAATAAAATAAAAACAAAGGCCATTTTTCCTGTTTGACAATAACTATTAATTAATTGGGCTACATATATACATACTTCACAACCAAATAAAATTTTATCTTAATTAATAATAAGCATTTTATTTGTTTGGATGATTTTTGTAACCACGTAAAATATATTTATTCTTTTTTAGATTTCAAGAGGTTGCATGGAGGATTCAATGTCCCGTGCTAAAGATGTGTCGATGTCCAAACTGGTCCAAATTAAGTTAGGTTGAGTTACTTTGGGTGTCAAATTCCACCACTAAGAATTTAAGAAAGCTGTATTTTCAGATTCAAACTCAATACCTAGTAATTAATACAACATCTTACAATTATTTTGAACCAAGCACTCAACCATAGCGGTAGATATTTTTTGTTTCTTAACAAACGCTTCTTCCTCGCCTTTTATTGAGAGGATTATAATTAAGTTTCGCTTAAAAAAAAACAGGTGATTATCATTCAAATTAGCGAATTAAGTTTAATCACTGATTAAATAATCAGTTAACGACGAAAGAATTACGTCGTTAATCTAATTTACGCGGATGATTTTATTTACTATTTTTTTAGGGCATCAAATAATAAAATCATTTGTTTTGACATGTAAATAAGAAAAAATGACATACAAATAGACCAAGGAATAATTAATTTTGCAGACCTATTTATAATTATCTCTTTTGGTTTATTTGGATAGATTTTGAAACTGGTCTTCCACGATCCCCCATCGATCAACAGCTGTGGCTTCACAGTTGACACCCGGGGTATTTCAACATGCAAATCCGATAGGTGTCCATAAACTACTCGTCCACGGGCCACGTGTCACGCCTGGTACGCATAAATATTTTTTGAAAAATATGAATGTGTAAATTTGGAATATGAAAACTGCTTTGAGGTCCCTCACAACACTTTAACAAAAAAAAAAGGTCTCTTGAGATGATTAAACTACTCTGAAGCCTCATGCCTCATGTCATTTAATTGTAATGGGTTTTCAGAATATAATGTCCTCAACTAAGGAAAAAAGTCCTTCATTTTCATGCCGAAGCCCTGCCGGCAACCGTCGGCGTGACCACCGCTGGAGATAAAACCGGAAAGAAGCGGCAGCCCCAGATGAAAGAGGCTACACTTGGGGTGGGGACCCGAAACATTATAGAAATTGTTGGGAGGGCCCCCGGGCGGCGCGCCCGCCATCTTTGTCTGGGAGGCTAGCTTTGTTCAATTTTCCATCTCCAATAATGCTCTTGAAAATTCAACCTCTACAATTCAAATTCAAAACGTTCATACATTATATAATTTTAAAAGAAATCAACAATTTTGCTCACTCACAACATTTTAATTCGCAATATTGAAATTATTCTGATCATAAAACCTTTAAAACGTGGACACTGGGGGCACCGGGGCATTTCATGTATTCGGCACGTTGACTCTGATGAGAGTAAGAATTGCTGTGCTCGTATTTATTTTGTACTACCTCCGGTCTTAATTATAAGACCCAGTTGACTAATTTGAGGAGATTAAGGAAAGAAGTTAAGTTAGCTATTTGTAATAAATAGATAGTGTCTTTCCTAAAATATCTTTGCTAATCAACTATATTGGCTAGGACTACAATTATTAGAGGGACTATCTTAGAAAAAAATACATAAATATGAAAGACAAAGTGGATTGGGGTCTTATAATTAGAACCAAAATAAAAGTCAAACAGGGTCTTATATTAAGGACCGGAGGTAGTATTGTTATTCGTAATATACAAGACACCGCCTCGTCCTCCTCCAAAAGGTCGTAGACGAAGATAAACGTGTGTGTATAGAGTTGGCAATATATATATATATATATATATATATATGTATACATAAAATATAACTTCAATAGTAGAAGTCACGTCCAAACGAATAAAAATGGGCGGTTTTTACATTCCAAATTATTCAAGCTGTTGGAAAAGAAAAAAGCCTCTTTCCTTCCTAGAATTTGACACTCACATTTATGACTTGTCCACGCTGACAGCCACCCACACGTACATGTGTCCGTCTATAATATCTCGGAAAAACTTTCTATTTAAGAAGCAATGCCATTTTCTGATCCAGTACGCTTTATAAGACTTTTTCTTGGATTTTAATGAGAATTGCTGCAGCTTGACTCAGAACATGAGACAACAATAATGTTAGCACCAGTAGTCAAACAATATGATATCAGAAGCTCAGCGAATAAATAGTCCACATAATCTTTCTTCCTGTGTTTCTCTTCCTCTAACCTCTGTCTGTACATGTCTCTCTCTGTATGTGTTAATTTCCTACACACTTCGGTTTCGTTGATTGAGGCCACATTCTTTTGCTTCCATGAATAGGATCCACGTGCACACACCCACCATTGCTGGTGAAGTCCAAAGGCATGGCAAGAAAATAAGAATATTGCCAATGCGTCATGTTTCACACTCCACAAATTCGTGTTAAGTACAATAATAAAACGAGAACTTTGAATTTGTGACACTTCAAATTATTGTTCAACAAATTAAACAACTACTACGATCATATTCACGCGCGCGCGCACACAGATATATATATATATATATATATATTTATATATATATATATTCGGGGCCAAACGTTATCAAGGGTGCTCGTGCTCATTGCATAGGAATATATAGTTTGATGTAAGCACATACGTGTGATATGTGCACGCTACATACTAATATTTGTGTGTATGGGTCCCCTTTTTGGGTACCGATTTGTGAAGTTTACTTGATCAAACTAGATAGTATTGTCCCTTTTAATCGATTCAAACGCAAAAATAGTGCAATTTTATCCCTCTTAATTACAACCAAAGACTGTACGTGTTCCTTTTTAATTTTTTTTTAAAGAAATTCAGGTTTTTAGTTGTAATTAATATTCTGAGAGGATCCTTAAATATCATGTACCTGTTAACTACGGTTAGGGATAATAGCATCATAGTTTTTTTTAAAAAGAAAAGAGAAAAAAAGAGATAAGCAACATGTATATCTTTGGCCTATGAAAGGATTGAGACTAAACATTCAAACTTATAAAATAATTAGAGCATT